CATTGTTAGCAAGGTCAACGACATAATAATTGTTTCAGGAAACGAATTGCCGAATGCAGGACAGAACGGATCGCGACAAAATTCATTAATCTGATATATTCTTTTAATCTTGTTGTTTGCGCATATAACAAGAACTGTAATTTCAAATCGTGTGTGTTGTTCCTCTATCGATTTTTCCTCTTTTATGTTACCATACACGCGTATTTCAAAAATGTCTTTTATTTCTAATTTTCCTTGCTTTATAAAATTAATCTCTTGTTAATTAAAATTTCATTATATTAATAATTATTAGAAATTTGCAAAAATGTATTTAAGTTTTTATTAACAAAAAATTTAATATCAAAAGAATCATTTTTCGATATTTTTCCAACTAATAAATAAAAGACTATTTAAGAAAATAAAAATAATAAATAAATATTATTATTTTTTAGTACTTTTACAATTAATGAAATAAAAAATTATTTGGAAAACTATACAAAACAAGATACTATTATTCATTTACTAACTTTTTAATTTTTTTTAATATCAAAATTTTTTATTGGTAATGTTTCTGGAATTAACAATAGTACTTTGAAAATGTCAATTTCAAATTATTTGAGAAATCCGTACCAGAAAGTCAAGGTCAACCCAATGAATTTAATAAATGATAGAGTATACTGACACAAAATGATTATACACTTATAATGGTAACATAAAATTTATTTAGAAAATGATTCATCTTGCAATTAACAAATGTTTGTACTATAATAATTTATTACATGGCTTACGTTTACGAGCTGCGTAATAAATTAATAAAACAAATGAATTCAGTATATCCCGGTTCAATTTGCCATTTCAACTCTTGCTTTTTTAAAGCCGTGAAGCAAATTTACAAAATACGGTGCATAATTAATTATTATCGAAGTGCACCCTCATTAACGACTTCTAGAAACATTCCATTCTATCTCATGAACAAAAAAAAGAAACTCAAGTTTCTTTATAAGTTAATGCACAAACGTACATACATATCTTGAATGTCATTGTTATGAATTACAAGAAAAGGTTAAACTCAAACGGTGAATACGAAAGAAATAAAAATTTCTTCCTAAATCGTAAAAAGAAATTCTACGAATTGGAGTTTTCAAAACATTTCATTCCTTTATACAGAAAGAACGAGTTTACTGAAGTATTTAAAAATAAAAATTTAGTTTCTTATTTATTGCTGCTATCAATAAGAATTCTGTTTAAAAACAGAAAATACTAAATCGAATATAATTGCGGAAAGAAATTTTACAAATAGGAGTTATTAAAACATTCTTCTACACAGGAAGTTTACTGAAGTATTTAAAAATTTAGCTAGATACAAATCTGAAAATAATTTTGTTGGACTATCAAAATAATTATTGCAGGATGCTCAAGCTGATTGCATACAAATTTTTTATGGCATTGCTCATCATGCTTGAATTTCTTATACATAATTATTTTTGTAGTCTAACAAAATTATTTGTAGAACTGTATCTAGCTAATTTATTATATTAGATACTTCAACATTTCAACGAAATCGTTTTTTCCGTGCTAGTACTGCTAGTAGCCAAATTCAGTGATGTAACGCACACATGTTACAATAAAAAAAAATGCGTGCAAGTTTTGAAATATTTTGTTAAATAAAACTAAAAATCGATGTTGTATTTGTAATTCGATTATTACGCAAAAATATTGGCATGATACAACAAACATGCATAATCGGCTGTCGGCCGTTTATCAGTTCTTTAATCCACTTTAACCAATGACATCCTATCGTATAATACATCCCTTGTCCCTCACATTCGGAAGAGATAATCCTATTTCCGGTCGATCCACGTTGTACTCGTTTATAGGATTGAACGATCGCATTTGCCTTGTAACCGTCACTCCGTATCTCTCTGTTATGCTTTCCACATAACATAACGCGAGCTCGTAATAAACACGAAACAAGTACAATTACCGTCGGCCACCGTTGGCTCATATCTGTGTCTTTTTACATGGCACATGTGCGTCAAGCTGCGTATTACATAGAAGGAAAGGATGAGTTTGACGAATATGTGCGTTTCGTATTATGCATGTATGCCGTATTCATGCCTCTCAGCCACAAATCCCAAGTTAAACAGACTTTCGGAGACACAAGAAGCGTCATTACAGCGCTGATGAATCTTTATTTTAGATTAAAAGAATATTCAGAGTTGTTAATTTTAATGAGTTTCGCGAGATAGACAGAAAGAGAAAAATAGAGTTATTCGATTTATATCCTAATTAATTTTTATCTTATATCTTCTAACATTTATTGAATATCTTTGTGTACGTAAAAAATAATAGAAATAAATATAATAAATAAGGAATAATTATATATATATATTATGTACATATATGTATATATATATATATAATTTCCTGAAAAATTTATTATTTTTAATTATTTTTTTTAATTCCCTTATGTTAAAATTTTTACTTAAAATTTTTTAATGTATTATAAAATATGTAGGTAATTAATAATATAAAAAACTTTAGAGTAAACTATATTTCTTTATCATCAAAATTGATCACAGAATCCACGGAAAAAAAAACAATTTTGCTGAAAGATCTATTTTACTGAATACAGATCTAATAATAAGTTAAATTATTACATAATTATGCTGGAAATTAAAAAATAATAAGCAATGCCGCAAAAGATTTTGATATTCTATTAATCAGTTTGAGTTTCCAATAAAATTATTTTGATCCTTCAAAAATTTTCAGATTCTTCAACAAAATCGTTCTTTTCATATATGTAGATAAAACTAACTCAATAGGTCAGGCACTCTCCACATGTCAATCTACCCGCGTAATTAATTGTAGCTCGACTTGATTCAATGGTATCAATTGTAGATAATAACTGGTACACTTGCCACTAGGCCTTGTTTACAGGTACGTTTTGTATCAAAACTGAAAATTCCAGATTTCTATCAGCACGTATATGATAGCATGTCATAGCTAGAAATCATCAATCGTGTAAGTGCTATATTTTGCCATGTGATTTTGCGAGTCTGTAAAATTTATCGTAAAAATGGAAGCACATACATATACACGTATACTGCAAACGCATCAAAGTGTTATCCGGTACTATAAAACGTTTTATCTTTCGATTGCTCCTATAAATCCGTAAACTCTCGATTCTTTCGGACGAATTTATTTGTGTGCTGTGTGCGCGTAATTATACGATAAAAATCATAATTAATTCCTAGATAACAATTTGTTCCTTACAATTCTAAGAAAATGAGGAAACATAAAACTTGACATAAAAGAAAGAAATCATATGCGCCATATTTTTAAATTTATTCTTATGTTACATAAGTTTGTAAACAAGGGTAGAAATGTCGTAACAGTATCGTTCAATAACAGTTAAACTGCTATTTTTTACAGAACGTATTATGTAACGTTTTTATATAAGATATAAAATATTTAATGCAAGTATAGTATTTTCTTTATGGTATTATATCTAATTCTAATTTAGTTTCAATAGAAAAACGTTTACCCGTTTATTTTAATAAAATAAGAAGTTTACCTTATTGTTTACCTTAATTTTGTTTTTGTTTATTTTTACTTTATATATATAATAACTTATTATGATATTAATAGTCAGAATTAAATTAAATTTGAGAAGATAAACACATTTGTTTTCTCAATGGTCACTTTTTCGCACTTTATCGATTACTTTAACACTCTTGAAAGTGATATTTTATTCGGCTTTATTAGCATGAAAAGGACCAAAGCTAGTGGATATTTCTTTCACGTAAATTCAACTTCCCGGATTTTCCCGCTGCAGCATCGAGCTGTCTGATCATATATTTTACTATTCTCCCATTTTTTCCTAAAACGAAACTAAAATACTAAACTGGATGATCCTATTATTCTTATAACATTCTATATATATTTTCTTCACAAAATAGAATTTAGCGTAAAAAATGTAAACAGTAGCGTTTTATGTCAGAAATTAGATTATAGTTAATAGCTGTAGATTTTTCTTAAAAAGTTTAAAAAATTCTGATGTAAATATTTAAATATATAATTTTAATTCGGAATAAATGAAAAAGTATGTTTAGCTCTTCTAAAAAATTGAAAACTCTTCTAAAAAAAAGTGAAATCATACTTGATAAATAAATATATGAAAATTTTAATTGATATTTATGTAAGATAATTTGAATATCAACTACATCTAATCAAGATACATCTAATCAATTGCGCTCTCTCTCTCTCTCTCTCTCTCTCTCTCTCTCTCTCTCTCACTCGAACATTTCAATGCATTGGTTCTTTTAATTATGGGAATTTTATTTCAACGTTATTAGCATGTAGAGGAGAAGGTGGTATGGCTTGTATATAAATATAATGACTTCTTTTAATATCTCTGCTATTACGTAGCAAATTCTACTGATTATTTGTGGAATTATTTGCTCAATAGCTCGCCATTACGTCATGATGCTAATATCCAATACACAATTGCCAGCCATTTATTAACTATAACGCATTTTCAAGTATTTTGAAACGTGTTTAAGGCACAAGAAATTAAGTATAAAATGGAT